TTCCCACAGCATCACACCAGGTGTGTCAGTATTAGGACTGAATGTGCAGATGAGATTATCTTGAAGGGCAGAATTAAAACCAGTATGTGCAAGAAAGGTAAAGTAAATCATGGCTTAACTGAAGCAAGAAAAACAAAGTGTTTCCATTGCAGGGAACCCTCTACTTCAAAAGTGTTTGTATAAGAGTTATATGGCATTCTGGATGAACAATAACAGTGAATGCAATGTATTCCTGATTGAGAGTACCACTCATTTGACTTCAGGATACTTAAAATAACCCCCAGCTTTCTGGTTCATGAACTATTCAGTGTGCCTTAGTTTTCTAAATGATCTGACATTTTTGGACCTTGCCTATCTGCCCACATTTCTTCCTTTGGACTGGCAATGCAATAAACACACACACATCCAAAAACTACCATCAAGTAGAGTCTGACTTATGGAGACCCATGTGCAGAACAGAAGCGCACGCCATAGGGCTTTCAAGGCTGAACATTAAAAGATTACCTCAAGGTGGATTCAAACTGCTAGGCTTGGAGTGCTTAGCCATTTGCACCCCCATTCCCTCTGCACACCTACACACCCAATGAGCAGCTGCAGCTTCCTGCTTGTCCAAGTGAGTGAAGAGAAAAGCTCTAGTGTGGGCAAACCAGCGACTTTCTCAGTCTTGAAGAGGCAATAGCTACCTTCGCCAACAAGGTCCACACCACCACTCACTGCCTTGGTGGGAGAGCTTTTCCAGGTTTGTCCTTCTTGGGTATGTTTGCTCAGATCTAGTGTATCATATAGAGTTCTCTATACCACCTCTCTTTTTTCATACTTTAAAACGTTAAGCTTCTCTTTTAAAGTCAGTGTGATTTCTGTCCCTAGACTGGACCGAGTCTGACACAATTTCCATTGCACCAGACTTAAAGGGACAACACAATACAACCAACCACTGATGCATTTCCTAGATTTAATGCTAAATTTGTAAAGCAGATTGTGCAAAATGTAAAACATTAAAAAACTGTCACGTTTTGAGGGTTGAAGAATTTAGAAGACTTAAAACTAAGACATCCACAATACCTGTATAATGGTTGGTCCTATTTGTTGAACACCAGCAACAACAAAAAACTCTCCAATAATACTTTTATTTTAAGAAGTATTTGCAGAATATCATATAATTAACGGATGCAATCTCCTTTGTCTTAACCGTGAAACATTATACAAGGAACCCAGTTTAGACTCATCAGTCAGCACTGTTTAAAACACAGCTTTTCTTGGTTAGTGCCGCTTAAGCCACTTGGAACTCGTTGAAGGATGGGGAGTGGGGGGGATACATTTGGACTCAGAAAAATGGTAGATGCCTGATCCTAACTTGTTTTCCATCTCCTTGGTTATAACACCTTTTACAGTCCACTGTATAAACAAATAACATACACCACGGTGAGTATACACGGGAAGTTTAGGAGAATCTGAATAAAGCCATTTGGCTGAAAACTTATTGTCTGAAATAAATCTGTAAGATTAGAGCAGTGATGTATATATACTAACAGTATCTTGTGAAGACCACTCAGCCTGGCTTCCATGCAAAAAAAAGTCAGAGAAGGGAGGAATGTTAAAGATTGAAATAGGAATTCGGTTATTAGGAAGCAGCTCAGTTAGTACCAGTTAAAGTGGCTGGTGGTGGTTGTATTGCTGTACAGGGTTACTGAAGCTGTAAATCTTTATGGGATCAGAAAGCCTCACCTTTCGCCCACAGAAAAGGGTGTACTTGAACTTCTGCTCTTGTGAACCCAGCAAAAAAGAAGCTTGTCATGATTTATCTTCAAGCCATATTTTGGTTCTGGTAGGTTCCGGTAGCATGGCTGCTAATCTCACAGTCAGATAATCAAAACTGCCAGCAATTCCATGGGAGTAAGCTGAGGTTTTCTGCTCCGGTAAAGATTTACAACTTTGGAAACCCTATGTAGGGTCACCGTGAGTTGGAACTGACTCCATGGCACTTAACAACAATAAATGTATGTTTTAATAAGATATATAAACCATTGAATATAAAATAACACCCCAAAACCCACATGGATACATTTCTACAAGAAATAGCATAACTAGAGAGATATACAGCCCCAAACAATTTAGTCAGAAATCTCTGGAGCTGAAATGAATTGTCACAGAAAAAAATGAAAGTGAAGTTCTTATTAATAATGACGACAATACATGTAGGTCTTGAATCTTCACATATCAGATCCTCTGATCTCAGATGAATTCTAAAATTCATCTTTTCCATTTTTTTTTTCATACTCAATACTTGTTGAAAAATCTTATTAAAATGTCTTTTTTTTTTTTTCCCATTTAGCCTTTATCGATATGCCTAACAGAGTGAGAGCAGAGGGCTGATGCATTCTGTTCACAGTGCAATTTTAAAATCTATTTGTTCTTATTATCTGCTTTAGATCATCGTCTCAGCAGTATCCTCACTGTTGTCCCTCATCTGCCCCTGGAAACCTTAAAAAACAAACAAAAAAGCTCTGAACTAGCATTTAAATATATCATTAAATCAGTTCATTAGAGAACTTCTTGGACATTAATCATTTATTTTCTTTTCTTAGTTGACCTTCTTCCCTTCTACATACTTCGTTGAAAAAGAAATTTGGAATTACTCATTCTGATTTTTAAAAAACTTTATATAAAACAACCCCTTCTCCAGATTTAACACAAAAGGGAAAATGAATGGTCCCTTAGTAAATATAAGGAACCTCAGTGGCAATGTAGGATAAGCACTGGACTGCTAGCTATCAGGTTTAAACCCACCAGCCAGAAAGATGAGGTATTCTGCTCCTGCATAGATTAACAGCCCTGGAAACCCTAGACAGGGTCGCCCTGAGTTAGAATTGGCTTGATGGCGCTGGTCATTTCTTACACTACTATTGCTGTTGTTAGGTGCTGTCCAATTGGGTCCAACTCATAGCGACCCTATATAGGGTTTCTGAAGATCTTGTAGGATAACTGCTATGCATATACTATAGCATCACACCAGAAGTCCAGTATTAGTTATAACAAAATCCTAGAACATGTTAATCTTATTTAATATTTGAGATATGCTCTTAGAAATGGAAGTATCCACTAACTCAAAGTGCTCTTCCAAGTCATCACAAAATAATCCCTTCACAGATGCTTGTCAGGCATTAAAAATAACAAAACCCACTGCCTACGAGTCAGTTCTTACTCATCTATGCTGTAGGGCAGAGTAGAACTCCTCCATAGGGCTTCCAGGGCTGACATCTTCACAAAGTAGACTGCTACATCTTTCTCCCTCGGGGCAACTGATAGGTTTGAACCACTGAGATTCTGCCTAGTAGCTGAGCATTTTCAACTACTGTGCTATCAGAGCTAATTTTATATATGAGCAACATATACAATTGGAAGTTTATTCCCTGACGTCTTTATCTTCCATGCTTTCTTTAGAATTTGCTGATCGGTCAATTTCTCTTGCCTGGACCATGATCCTGATCCACCTAATGCATACCACTTAAAACCTGTATTTTAACACCCAGCCATACTTCAACCATTTTATATTCATTGCATATTTGGGTACCCAAACTATGTGCTGTGAAGCAAAAGACCACAGAAACACCTCTAAAAGAGTAAACAAAACAAACCCCCTGGCAACTGCCTTTCAAACTGGTCAAAAGGCAGTATGGTGACACAATCTGGTCAAAAAAAAAAAAAAGCAGGGCTAACTATAGAGTCTTTGACATGTCAAAACTATACTAAGGTACTCCCATATAAACTATCACATAATTTGCAATAAAACATTAAAAAAAAAAAAACTATACTAAGGTATTAATGCAATTTAGACAAAATTGACTCAGCAAAAAATGTTGTCAGTTGGGTAGAGTTAATTTGTAGTACTTCTACAGTACACTGAAATTGCTCCATTTCATTTTCTCTCTAAATGTGCATTAATTATACTTTATGGTTCAATGTTTGGGTTTAGTGATAAAGAGGCTTCCTATTTATTAGAGGTTCACTTGGTAGAAATTGCAACATTAGAGAACTCTGTTCAGATCCAGCAAGGGACTGTGAATAGGATTCACTGCTTTTAAGAAACTCAGTTCTCACAAAATACAAGTTTATGGAAAATTCCATTATCTTCTAATTCCATTTTACCACACAGGTTTTGAAGCTCCTTATTGCTTTAAAACAGTGATTTGCTTTCTGATTTTCCATATTAATTTTCTTTATATTTATGAAATTTCACAAAGCAACTGGCCACTTACCTCATAGTTTTTACAAATCTGAGTTAATGTCAAAACTAAACTGTGGGAAATAATGTAGTATAAAAATACTAATAATGTTTTGTATATTACCAAGATTATCTTAGATATAATCAAAGCATTAATTAAATTCTCTTGAATTCAATAACATAATGGAATATTCTTTTTTAGCACCCAGTATTAATTAGTGTCATTTGAAAATACCTTAAACATTTGACTCAAGAAAACTTAAAATGAACAGACTTCCATATGGATAAGATACATAATAACCATTTTGATTTACATTGAAGCTCCTTAAATGCAGACGCTATGGGTATCAAAACGTCTGTTTAGCTTAAGAAACTATGGAAGAATCCTGGAAGAAACCTGGAAGAGTCCAATTATCCAGAAGCAGCTAGTAACACAATGAGGATACTGAAGAAGGTTAAATCCATGTAAAATCTTCAAGAACGGAAATCATTCGCCTTCAAGTACTAGACATTTGTGGGCCTCAAGTCCAAAGTCAGGTTGCCAGATCTCTGTGGGATTTCTCAATTCAGATTCTTGTATTTTAGCACAAAATGAAGTTAGGTCACAAAACCTATGAACATTCTCAAGTTTCTTCTTTAAGAAATTCATAATACTTGAACCAGTTACAAAATGATATTTGACTTACAATTACTTTGTCAGTAAAGTTATAGGGAAAAAAAAAAAAAGTTTTTGTTTTGTAGTAACTAATTTATTGGTTAGGCAGTCTTATTTTCCTCTTCATGTTTTCGGTGACTGTTTCCCACTGGTATCATCAACCAGGTCTCTCAGACGAGATAAATGGTGCAAAGCCCTTCATTAAAAAGTATAAAACACATTATAAACCAGTATTTAAGGACCGAATAGCCAACGCAGACAACAAGAAATGTGATGACATTTGTTTTTAACTTCAAAATTAGTAGAAGTAGATTTACAGTAGAATATACACAAAAATTTCAAAGTTTTCTCTTATAAAAACTTGAGATCTGAATAATACTTAAGGGTTAAACTAATGTATCCAAAGTTCTATAAACATTTATTGTTAGAAATTCTGTTACTGTTTGACATTTAGAGTTTTGTGGAAGTTAATCAATCTGCCAGGTAGTCCTATTATGATACTAATATTAAATATTATTTGCATCACAATTTATGAAACATATTTTTACATGTGACTTTTCACAACAACTGAAAAATATACCTTTCTTTTGGGAATGCTGTAGCTCTCACATACAGAAATAAAATACATCATTCATCTTTAACATTTACAGTCAAGATAGCTAAAATAAGAAAACAAATAGCACTTAGGGATCAAGTTCAATTCTGAGGAAAACTCATTTTTATTGGGGAGGTGGTGTGGGGAAAACCAATAACATATTATACCAACAACCTGGATTGTTCTCTAAAATAAAGCCAAGATTGTAGGTCAGGTCTTAGTGAAGAAAACTCAACCCTTCCTCAATCAAACCAGGACAAAAGAGGGCCTTAAATTTCCAGGTTTCCTCTAAAATCATTCTTGCAGTTTTTCCTCTCCCCTATCCTGCAGATCCTTGGGGACCACTCAGAAAATGTCACTCAATCATATTTCAGATCTCTGATAAATAAGAAAGATACTAAGGGAAACAGAGAGAGAATACAATTATGATATGCAATAATCTCTAATCTTAGTCATTTCTATGGTAAATTCAAAGACAGTGACTACAACACTCCATTCGATAGTGTCTAACACATAATGTAGTTTAATAATGTTAATTAAATATCTTCCACCTCATTCAAGACAAAGATATGGAGAAAAGTATCAGTGTTAATTATTGTATCATTAATGTCTTGTACTTCTTGGACACTTAGACATTAAACTCTCTTGTAATAAGAGAAGAATCTGGATTGTGCCACCTTTGGGGCAACATTAGTTAGTGACTGAGATTTGTATGTTAATTATTGTTACACTAGTACACAGTCATTTTCAAAGTATCTATAAACCAAGATAGCCCAAAGCCAAAATCAAATTATTGCTGTATGACTTATGATTCTGCATAAATCAATTATAGTTCACCTTTATAATATCTGAACAATGTAGTATGCTCATCCTTTACAACCCACATAGACAAAGGAGCTGGTTGCTCATATGATATAATAAGACTCTAGAAATACTGTACATGTAGAATTGTTAATGGATATATATACTGCCACCAAATAAACAAATAAATTCAGGAACGTCCCTTGCCTAAAAGTTACAACTGCATCTGCTTAAAGATGGCAAATGTCCTCTACAGAGAATAACAAATTTTTATTGAATTTCTAATATATAAATTTGTAAGACAAAAGCTAAGTATTATAGGATACAAAACAACTTCCACTCTGATTCCTATTAAAATAGAAATCCCTCTGGAAGAAACAACATTTTAAACAGTTGCAATTTAGATTTCAGCTCCAATGAGTCTTTCCGGAGAGCAGATATGTCTAAAGAGAGAGCAGAAGTCAACAGAATAGCCAAGGCAGGAAATGGAACACAAACTAAGAGCTTGGAGTTCCCCAACTCTAAAACCAATATGGAGTCCTGGTGTGGCGCTGTGGGCTAATGCGTCAACTGCAAAGGCATTTGAACTGCAAGGCCGGCAGTTCAAGCTTACCAGCTGCTCCTCAGAAACCCTATACAGGGTCGCTATGGGTCTGAACTGACTTGATGGCACTTAACAACAACAATAACCAATATCTTGGACTCCTGGTGTGGGTGCTGTAGGATCAGCACTGGACTATGAACCACAAAGTCGGCAGTTCAAACCTACCAGCTTCTCACTGGAAACCCTATCCAGGATCACTATGAATCAGAACTATGAAACTCAATGGCATTTAACAACAATAACGACCAACAATAAAACTAATTAGCCATTCAAATTGTAAGTGACAAAACCGGTTCTTTGAGGAGTAGCAGAACAACATGATGATAGGATGTTCACCCATCAGAAAAACACTGAAGCACCCAAAGTAGCAGTGGAGTTTTTGAGGAAGCTGAGTCTATCTAGTCTAAAATAGGAAAGGCTGTCCAAGTGCCTGTCTACAACATGTCTCACTCTACAAAGAAGAATCCTGAGGCTGAATTAATTTTAAATCATCTGTAACACAGCTAATCTACAGATTAAAAGACTTTGGTAGAAAATACTCTAATAAGCTTTTCTAAGTCTAAACTTACTGCTACTTTATTATAATAAACATTTAGACTTAGAAACGCTTATAATAAAGTAACAGTATTACTAACAAATAATAATAGAATATATTTAAAATAAAGTAACAGCACTACTAATAATTGTAAAATACAAAGTAAAGCTAAATTAAGACTGTTTCTTTCAGCTAATGCAACATAATTCATAGCAAAAAGCCAATTTAACAAAACATGAATCTTGCTGTCCCTGAAAATGGAATTCTACGCGTAGGCAAGACTATTTATAGTTCAGCAAACTCCTAGCAAATAAACTCTAGCAAATGATTCAAGAGGCTGTGGCTCACTGTCCATTTTTATTATGATTTAATTACTAATTTTCAACAAGAAAAACATCTTCTATAGTATAGAGAATGCATTTAGGTCTGTGACACATTTCAATATGAATACTTTAAAAAGCAAAATGAAGTCTTTATACTAGATGCTCAACTGCAGCTCTGCACCTAGTTGCAATGGAAGAACTCAGCATTATCATTAATGAGAGGAGTGTTAGGGATATAATGATGGGCCAGACAGACGGTAGAGTCAGGAGGCCTGCTCTGAATCCCAGTTCTACCTCTTGCTAGCAACGTAACCTTGAGAAAGTTACTTGATTCTCCCTGCCAGTTCCTTCATCAGTATAATGACGATAATAACAGCACTTCCCTCACAGGATTATGAAGGCTAAATGAATGCTATATGGTACACGCTCATTCAACATTACTTATTATCATCATTTCACTACATCTACTAACTATGGAACACTATATCCAAGTACTATGGCAAGCTACAAAGAAACAAACAGTATTTCTATCTGGAAGAAGATTATACATTAAGTAGAGGGAGTAAAGGGAAAAAAAATCAGACTAAGATTTATTTTTTAAACAAAAAATATTGAAACAAAAAAATATGTACATATTGTGACAGTTTAAATGCCTAGTGTTTGACTTATTCACCACTTCCTCAGCTAACAGACTCCATGCAATGTCTGAAGGGATCGATGGCAGACAGTGCCATCTGTGTCCAGCTCTGCGTCCAGCAGTTGGGAGGGAGGACCGTGGTGCCACAGCAAAATATTACATCTTAGAATTTCCTAAATTCAGTCATTCTGTCTTCTGAGAGCATTTCATGTTCATACAACTAACCCCATAAATTAAGAGCCTTCTCTTCTCCCAATATCATAATTATAGCAAAGCCTCTTGGTCACTTTTTATGTAAAGCAATATAACTCAAAAAATAAAATGAGTGGATTAACACTTTTATTAACATACATTAAGCCCATTATAGATTTTGTGGGGATATGCCAAATAATGGTACATTTAACATTATCATATTTATTAGAGAGGATACATGAAAACACATCTCAAATTGCTGAAGTTATTTAGGAATGAAAAGAGAATCTCTCCAGCTCATTCAAATCCACTGTATGCTCACAGTCTAAGGGTATCTATTCAGGTCCTAAAAACATTTCATTAAGAAACAGCACCGATTAAATAGAAAATCTCAATACACTCAAAATGTATCCAGTCTTGGAGCGACTTAATAATTCCACCATGAACATGCAAATTCCAAATCAAAGAAATGACTAAAGTGGATTTGTGTATCTACCATCTATAGAAATTAGGAAAGAGCACTTACTTTTGAAGGGACCTAGTAATAGGAATCATACTTTCCTTCAACTGCAATTTTGAAAATTCATCTTCTGAAATCTATTGTTAAAAACACCAAATACAACAAAAGTGTTTAATCATATAATCACAAATTTAAATGCTATTTAAATAAGGATATTAAAAAATATTCCTGCATCTGCATTTCCAAAGAATTCATTCTAGCAAGTAATTCTCATATTAAAATTTTTTATTTTCTCTTTGTTTTAAAAATACAAGAAGTACTAATTTGATTCATCTTTCAGTTGTCCTAAAATATGCTATTCTATGTATATTTATAAAAAATCAAATCTTGGCTTGAAAACTGTGACTTTACTAATACAAAGTTAGATAGATCCCAGCTAGGTTGAACAGCAGAGAGGAGAACAAAATGGTACCGGAAGCAGTTTCAAACTTCCCTCCTTCCACAGAAACATTGAAAAAAAGAATAGAAGAAGGGAAAAAAAAAAGGTGGCATCGACTTTATCAAAGGTTCACAGCAGCCAAGCAAACGCTAATCAAGGAAAAGTCCAGAGAATATGAGGGGAGAGCATTTTTTACTTGCCCTTGTTCTACCTACTGCCCCAACTTCAGAGTCAATTGTTGTTGTGGTTGTTGTTAAGTGCTGCTGAGTTGATTCCGACCCATAGCGACCCTGTATAGGGTTGCCAAGAAGCATGGTAAAACATAGAGTAAATTTCAGAGCTGAAAGTTATGTGCAGAAGTCTAATGATAAAAAGGTTTTCCTAGGAGACTTCCAGCAAGATGGCAGACTAGGCAGACACATTACACAGACCCTCTACAACAAAGATGGTTGCTGTTGTTAAGTGTGTCAAGTTGGTTCTGATTCATAGCAACCCTGTATAGGATTTCCAAGGAGCGGCTGGTAAGTTTGAACCTCCGACCTTGTGGTTCAAACCAACTTTGCGGTCAAGTGCTTACCCTGTAGTGCCACAGCAGGACTCCATAAACAGATGAAAATCCTGGACCCCTCAACTTCAGAGGAAGGGTAAAAGATGTGATCTTAGTGCTTACTGGGAGGAGACACTGAACAGGGGCAGTGAGAGAGGGAGACTGTGTGGTGAACAGCCGGCCACGTGCGCCGCGACTATCTTACATTTTTGTGAGCAGCTTTGGCAACACAAGGTGGCCTGGAAGAACAGATTCACACGGGAAAAGTATGATTCCTTCTTTTCCCCATGCTCCCCAAGTGACCAACGGTGTGGCCAGCTCACACTCGCATCCACCCCCAGCACAGACCCTGCTTGCTTCTCTGGGAGTTTGGAGCTGAGTGGTTGTGAGGCACGTCAGCGGAAGGGAGGAACCTGGATGTGCCACTTTGGTGCCTCGATTCAGGCTCCAGACCTACAGAAGCTGCAGAGCCACCAGACAAACATCAGTCTAGCAGAAACCCTGATAACCAGCCACCCTGCTCCCAGCTACCCTGGGATCCTAACAGATACTGAAACCATCTCCATCAAGGGCCTTCATAAACTACTGCTGAATTGAGTGCTCAGAACATAGCTAGCATCTAGGCCTATAGGTTCAGTGCTTATCCTAGTGTGGCACTGTAGGATAATCACTGGACTGTTAACCACAAGTTTGGCAGTTCAAGTCCACCAGCCACTCCTTGGAAACCCCAAACAGGATTGCTGTGAGTAGGAAATGACTCAACAGCAAACAACAGGTCTATAGGACTCCACGTAGGACTAGGAACTCTACTGTCATATCCCTCCCGCAACCACATCATACATAAGCTCTGTGGCTGCCAGGAGGTCCTTAGAGTTTTCTCCTCTCCAGGTCCAACAGCTGCACTGGTTTGCTTTTATTTTTGCTTTTTTCCTTTGTTTTGTTGTTTTTGTTTGTTTAGTCTTTCTTCTCCTTCTTCCGCTCTTTCCATTCCCTTGAATTTTATCCATTCTGGGGTTTTTTTTTGCTTCCTTTCTTCTGTTTCTCATTTCCTCTTTTCTTCTTTTTTCCTTTTGATCTTTCTTTACTATTATCTACTATCTTTCTCTTTTCATCTTTTCTTTCCCTGTTTTTTAAAACTTTTAAATTTCTTCCCTTTATTTTCTCTCGTATTTTTCTCTTCTGTAACTCCATTTTCCTGCCCATCTTTTCTCTTTTTAGTTATTGTATTCTTTTTATCTGGTTGCTGCCTGTTTTTATTTCTTTTTTTCTCTTCTATTATTTTCTCTTTTCATTGTTGGTTGCTTGTTTATTCTGTTTTGTGTTCTTGTGTTTGTGGCCGGGGGAGGAGAGGAAGTCATCCTCTTTCCCACCCAAAAGGAGACAGCAACTGTGTGCATACAGCACAGCCACAACTGTACCCTTTTCTGTTCCACCCACTGGCCAAGAGCCAATACCAGCTCCTATACCACCTGATCGATGATAGACAGCAGTCAACACCAACTTAACCCACCCTAAACTTAGGTACACGAATGGAAAACAGAGCACTGTGTACACACCTCCATTCTATAACTACACACGCAAGAAACCTAAGAGCACATCAACATACAATTATCAGTTTAATACAAATATGACAACACCACAATGTCCCAGAGACAACAGGCAATTTTAGCTCACATGAAAAAAACGAGAAAAATTCTCAAACAAATGACCAAGAAATCACAGCCAGAAAACATTTCTGAGGAAGAAAAAGTAATGAAACTACCTGAAGAAGAATTTAAAAGAATGATTTATTTAGGTACCGTTAAAGGACTGACAGAAAGATTGAGGGAAAAAAGTACACAGAAAAAACTTTAGAAGAATTCATGAAACACCACAAGAATAAATAGACAAAATGAATGCAAATGTTGAAACAATACAACTAGAAATTAGGAATCTAAAGATTACTACTGGATTCAGAAACGGACAATACATTGAAAATGCAAACGAGGAGATTTGAAGCAATGGAAGCTCAAATTAGTGAGCTTGAAGATAAATCTTTCAATACTAGTATGCTAGAAGAGTCCTGGGGTGGTGCTGCAGGTTAATGCACTGGACTGAAGGGTTGGTTTGAACCGTAAGATCGGTGGATCAAGCTTACCAGCTGCTCCTCAGAAACCCTATATAAAGTTGCTATGAGTCAGAAGCAACTCAACAGCCCTTATCAACAACAAAAATGCTAGAAAAACAATCAGAAAAAAAATAATGAAAAAATCTGAAGAAAGTCTAAGAGTTAGGTTAACTCACCATGAAAATGAATAACTTACAGGAGATTGCAATTTCAGAGAAGACAGAGACAAAAAGCACAGAGAAAACTGTTGAAGTTATTGGTAGACAACTTCCCTGACATCATCAAATACAAGACTATAAGTATACAAGAAGCAGACTGAACCCAAAACAACAGATCCAAAAGAAAATCCCCAAAACATACCATAATCAAAATTTCCAAAACCAAAGACAAGTAAAAAAAGTCCTGAGAACAGCTTGATAAAAACAAAAAGTTATCTAACAAAGGAGAACCAATAAGACTAAACTCTGACTTCTCAGCAGAAACTATGTAGGCAAGAAGACAATTGAATGATATATAATTGCCAATTAAGAATCATATATGCAGGGAAGCTGTCCCTCAAATACAATGATAAATTGAGGACAATTCCAGATAAACAGAAATTAAAGGAATTATTCAGACCAACTTTACAAAAAATACTAAAGGGTGTTCTTTGGACTGAGAACCAATAACAGCAGACAACAAGCTGAGATTAACATATGTAACACCAACCCCAGAACTCAATCCGGATATGGAAATATTGAAAGTAAAATAAACCTATAAAACTGAGAACAGGAAATTAATGGTATCTATTTATAATGAAGTCAACTACCAAGTAAAAAGATGGAATAGTGTAGATACAGAACTTCCAAATGGGGAGAAAATCAAATAGCTTTTAAGATAAAACAGACTGTTTTAAACAGGGGACAACAATTAAAAAATTATGATGGTTACCAGGGATGAGGGGAGACCTGGTGTGACGATGTGGGTTAATGCGCTAGACTGCAAGGTTGGTTTGACCACAGGTTGGAGGTTCAAATTCACCAACCACTCCTCAGAAACCCTATACAGGGTCGCTATGAATCAGAAGTGACTCGATGGCACTTAATAACAACAATAAGGGATGGGGAGGGAAAGTTATTCATAGGCTAGAGGGGAGACACATGTTAACATGGATGATGGGACAGACAATATACAACAAAGGGAAGTTGACAAGAGGGAAGATGAAGGTAGTGGGAGACACAGTGAGGAATGCAAAAGTTAAAGTAAATAACTGACAGTACATGGAGGGGACTACCATCATTATATTGAAATAAATTATACAAATTGTTGAATGCAAAACTGATGAACTGCTCTGTAAACCTCCACTCAATTCAAAACTGAATGTTACAAAAAAGAAAGGTTCTCCTAGTTTCCCCAAATATATCTAGTACTAAAAACTGGATGGTTCAGATTACATTTCTATGGTTAAAAGCAACTCTTAAATCTGTTCATAATACATAGTTGTAATACCATCATATCTAAATAGGATCTTGCATTTATAATCATAAACTAAACAGAACAATCTATTGGGAGGTAAACCAAATGCTGAAATCTAGTAGTATTCAATGAGAGCAAGTTATTACTTTTTAAAAAAAAGTTCAAACAGATGTTCTATGGCATAATAGAGAAACAGAATTTAAAAAGATATAGGAAGAAAACATATACATATTCACAGACCTCATTTCATAAATCAAATTTATGCTTACTTGCTTCATCTCTTCTGTTGGCTCTGTGGTTTTATTCTGATTAAAACTTTCTTGGACTGCTTGAAGATTAAATAGCATTTGTTTCAGGGCTTCAACAGGACCATGATGTCTGCCTCCAGAGAGGGTACAACTCTAAGATTAAAACAGATGATCATGTGGTTAACCTTGTAAACTTAGAGGGAAAAAAAGTTATATACTACTATCTTCTAATACAAAATTAAAGCATGCAAAATTAATCCATCCAATCAAATATTTGTAAAACCAAAAACTATAACTCATCACCTCCCCATATCCAGTCCTCAGATGCAATTACTTAGAGACAACCATTTGTTGACAGTATGGCATATCCTTTCTAGTCCTTGCTCTTTTAAAACAAATAGTTTGTGTTTGTAATCATAACAAATATATTTAGTACATTTAAGATCATCAATTTTTAGAACTGAAAAGGTTTTCAAGAACATGGAAGCCAGCATGATCTTTTCAAATGTAGATACGAAGTGAGTCATCAGCTAAGCAAGGACTAGAATTGGATGGAGTACTACTATAATGTTCTCTGCACACTTTTAGACACTTTTCATAGAGCATGCTGGATTTCACCTGTTCAGGGGCCACACATTCCTTGCTACCTACATAACACTCAGACTTCAGTTATCACTGACCTGGCCTGCATCCACAGAAGGCAACAGCAGTTAGCCACATTAAGGGTCAGGATTCTTTTAAGAGAATCTGTAAGGGATATTTTAAAACTTTTTTATACGTCTTATCAGCCTACTGTTTTACATTTTTCAAAGAGTTGATGTGTCCTGATAGCTATCCACAATGGCAAACAGGCCTCTTAAAAGTCTGTAATTACTTTAAATATTTTTAGTACAGAGTAATTCTCACAGCATATGCAGCAATTGTATAATCATCAATTCTGGAGGAAGCTGTTGACTAGCACAGAAATGTTAGAAATGGGTTCTCATTTGCGAAGGTACTCAAGATAAGAATAATGGCTAAAAAGATTTAAAGACACTCCCCACCACTGTATGACTAGGATAAAAGGAACAGGATATAAGAATCCAGCTAGTCTGGTTTCCCTGTACTCTTAGAGATGGCATCTGATGTTATGTGTAAATTATCCTACACTCAGTCAACTGGTTAAGAAGAATTTCTGGTTGCCTAGTACCAACCATAGGGCTACAAATGCCTGTCTCTAGAATTTGTCATGTCTGTCTCAAATAAATCTTTCATACAAATTAGTGGTCAGAGGACCTATACTAAAGAAAAGACCAGTAGTGGTGATGGTATGCCCGAACAGTACAGGGGAGGTCAGCATACTCTTACCAAGGAAGACACCAGGAAGAGCATGAGAGTTTAAGGCAACAAAAGTAAATACAATTATTGACACAGTCCTGCATATGCTAATAACAAACAATGGATACACAGGTAGATATGCCAGTTGAACAAGTGTGGGATGGCAAACAGGACTATACCCAAGTATATGTTTGGCAGAGGCTATTTCTACATATGTATTTGTACATGATGTAAATATATCCATGTATACAGTAGCACATATACTGGGGGCAAAGTTATGTAAATTACTTAACCATATAGACAAATACCTTGAGGGAATAATAAAATACTGAGCTTGGGGCTTGAAAGCATAGTCTCAGGGAACATCAAGGCATAACAGAGTCCATAAAGACAATGTTCTACATCCTACTTTGGTGAGCAGCAATTCGGAGTTTTGAAAGTTTTCAAGTAGCCATCTAAGATGCAAACATTGGTCTTTCCCTGTTCAGAGCAAAGAAGAATGAAGAAAATCAAAGACACAATGAAACAATTAGCCCAGAGGAATAATGGACCACACAAACCATAGTGTCTACTATCCTAAGACCAAAAGAACTAGATGGTGCCTACCCACTACAACCCAACTGTTCTAACTGTTATCACAGAGAATGTCTTAGACAGAGTGGAAGAAAAATGTGAAACAAATTTAAAAATCATAAAAAAGACCAGACTTACTTGTCTGATAGAAACTGGTGGAACCTTGAGGTGATGGCCCTTAAGATACCCTTCAGAGCTGGCACTGAACCAACCTCTAGAGATCAACTTTCAGCCAAACAGACCTCTCAAGTGAACAATAACACCAGTGAAGAAGGTCATGCTCAGAACAATCAAGCATGTGAAAACAAAGGAGTGGCATTTGCAGAAAAACAAAGCTCAGAAGGAAGGGTCAGGAAAGGGCAAATGTCAGTAGGGCATCCAGGGAGAAAGTGGAACTAGTGCTGTTACACTGAGGGGCTTGCAACTCATGTAAAGAAACAAACTGCATGAGAACTAATGTGCACAAACCACAACATAAAGAAACTATCTACCAAATAGATAACACCAAATGGACAGCAGATATTTTTAAAGCATAAACAAGAAAGTCGGAAGGCAAAGAGTTGAAGTAAATGGGTGTGAGACAATTAGAACAAAAGTCATCAGCAAATAGACACATGGTGGAAAATGTAACCAATGGCACAGATCTCCATGTCTAGAAACTGCTGAATGAGAATGGGTTTTGATGTGCTTTTTCACCAAAATAAAATATGATATACAACAAAGACCTAGGTAGTGAACTTAGGGCATTGCTGGGATGGGGGAGTTATTTCATAGTTAATTCATCTACCTTAAAGTGTCTGAAAGAGACCTCAAAATCTCTTTTGATTTCTCATTCACCCTGCATCTGTTCCTCATGTAAATGGTGCCAGCAGTCCTCTAGTTCCTTAGCTCAAATCTTTTGGATTCATTATCTGAATTCTTCTTCTGAACAGGCGGACCCTCAAAATACATCCCAAATCAAACCACTTCTGACTGTGTACTTTCAAAACACTCACTCCATGCCCAGCCACCATCATCTCTTCACTGAAATGCTGCACTAGTCCTAACTGGGCGCCCTGCTCCTTCCCCAGCCTCTCCTCCATCTACTCTACACAGCTGCCATTTTATATTTAAACATGTACATCTGATCATTTCATTCCCCCACTAGAAACTCACCAATGACTTCTCATCTGACTTGGAATAAAATCCAAAACCCCAATTACATAGTTTACAAAGTCTTACATGCTCTGGCACCTGGCTACCTTCTCCCATTTTACCTCTCACCATTCTTTCCCTGCTTACATAATCTGACTGAGATACACTGAATGGAAGCTGAGATTCCTTGAACATGCCAAACAAGCTCCTGCCTTGGGGCTTTTCAACTTCATTACTTCTATTTTAAAGTTATTCCCCCATGAGTGTTTGTCTTGTTCTCTCATTTCCAGTTTTTCCGTTCAAATGTTATTTACCTCATTGTTGTTAAGTGCCATCAAGTGGGTTCCAACTCAAAATGACCCTGTATGACGTTTTCAAGGAGCAACTGGTGGGTTCAAACCACTGACCTTGTGGTTCACAGTCCAGTGCTTATCCTACAGCACTACACCAAGAGAAATTATCTTCTCTATATTCCGATTCATTTTTCTGCAGATACTTGTTGTTATTGTTAAGTGCCATTGAGTCGGTTCCAACTCACAGTGACAATGGAAAGGGCTTCCAACGAGCAGTTGTTGAGTCTGAACAACCTAGCAATCCAGCACATTATCCTACAGCACCACACCGGGACTCCTCAGAACACTCACAGTACTCCTTTACATCACTTATTATATTTTTGTTTAATTTGTCTAACAAGACTCCCCAACAAGAATATAAATTCCAAGAGGGCTACGAATATAGTTCCTAGAAAAGCGCTGGAATTCAAATTTCGGTGAACAAATATCTGATAATGAAGTGTCACTCACCAAGCATACACTAATGTTTCTTATTGTACAATTCCAACATCAGACATATTCTGACATCTTCTAATCCAATAAATTTCACTGAGAAAAGACATTTTAAATATCTAAATTAATTTTTTTGTGCGTGTCCAACTCCTTCAACCCTCTAAATACTCAGATCTCAAAAGCATTATTTCATAATTTAATAGTCCTGGCTTATATTTTAAGTCAAATTACATATTTCTTATTTGCATACATACACATTTATACTTTGAGAATTCATTGTAAGATACACATATACTGATATTGTGAAAGTAGGTAGTCATTTTCTTATTTTAAATTATTATAGCAATTTATAAGGAGCCCTGGTGACGCTGTGGGATATGCGCTGAACTGCTAAACAAAAAGTCAGTGTTTCAAATCCATCAGCCACTCCAAGGAAGACACAGCTGCCTGCTAGCATATATAGTCTTGTTGTTGTTGTTGTTGTTAAGTGCCGTCGAGTCGGTTCCGACCCATAGCGACCCTATACGGGGTTTCCGAGGGTGTAAATCTTTACGGGAGTAGAAAGCCTCATCTTTCTCCCGCGGAGCAGCTGGTAGTTTCAAACCGCTGACCTGAACGTTCGCAGCCCGATTCGTAACCACTATATTGGAGTTACAATTGATTCAGTTGCATGGGTTGTAGCAATTTTTATCTTTGTTAGAAAACACATGAATAATCAACTTCCCATGGGAAAATGGAGTCCTGGTGTGGCACTGTAGGATAAGCACTAGACTACAAGGTCAGCAGTTCAAACCCACCAGTTGCTCCTTGGAAACCCTATAGAGGGTTCACCATGAATCGGAACCAACTTGACAACAGTTAACAACATGGGAAAACAGAATTAATTCTGTAATGGTTTGCTTTATGACATGTTTTCCAGAAGGAAAAATAACGTGCACACAACATTATAATGAAGTTCAACCCTAAGTCCCTCTAGTTTAGAATAATGAAATAAAATTTTCATCATTCTGGAAAGTGTGATGGTTTTGTGTTGGGGAAAATGGATTTGAATAACTTATTTTAAAATTTGTAAATAAATTAGAAATATCAACTGTTAGTCATAAATCTTCTTTCAATAAATTAAAAGGTTTTAACTTCACCCACCTGATTATCATTATTTAAAAAGTCTTCAAGGAACTCTTTCGTGTATTTTGCCTTTGAGGTTTGCTGAGGATTATCATCAGAGTCAACAGGAACAGGTGATTTGCTAAATAGGATTCAAAGGATACAAAATAGCAAATACGTTTCCAAATTATTAATTTGTCCTGATGTGGCATTATAGGTTATACACTAAGCTACTAACAACAAAGTTTGTGGTTCAAATCCACCAACTTCTCCTCAGAAAACCTATACAGGGTTGCTAAGTCAGAAGTGACTCGATAGCACTTAACAACTAACAACATATGATAAATAGTTATCACGTAAATATAAGTGCTCTAAAAAGAATCATTATGAATTTGATACATATTGATGTTGCTTGGTTAACTCCCTCCTCCTTTTCTCCCTAACTAAGACCAAAATTCAACTCCTCCCTAAATCCCTTCTTACCTGCCCTGAGTCTGGCACAGAAAAGATCAGCTTGGGAGGGTGAAGGAAGGCAGAGATCAAGTGACAATGCTCACTCCACTCCCACCTAACACTGGTGTACCCTTGAATTGTCCCTAAATGCCTCTTTCCTCTCCTAAGCAACATTATGTTTGTACCCAAGCATCACAATCTCAAATTAAACATTAAAAATCAGCTAGATTTAATTTATCTACTAAACCAAACTCATCTCAATTTTTGTGTACCAAGACATGTAGGCTTCTCATCTGTTGTGGCTGTTGCTAAGTGACATCGAGTCAGTTCCAACTCATAGTGACCCTGTATAGGGTTTCCAAGGAGCAGCTGGTGGGTTTGAGCTGCCAACCTTGCAGTTAGCAGTCCAGTGCTTATCCTATAGCACCACACCAGGACTCCTTACATAGATGGGTCTAATAAATTATCATTACCATTCACAATGTGCCTGTCACTAGGGCTTATTAATAAGCACTTTGTACACACTTAGTTGTCAAAAACAGCCCAGGTGAGATGATTGTTACCCTTTTATAAATGAGGTCCTGAGCAATGGATGTCTACCTCAGAGCCAGGATTCAACTAAAATCCAAACTCTTAAATACAATCACTGTTTCTCAGAATGAGCTCATGAGTTGGTTTAAAATACAGATTTGTATATGAGAATGATAACGTGGAGATAGAGAGGATCTTATTTTTAACTACCTTATCAAACCATCTGTGCTAAAGGGCATGTTTCCTTGACTTTTAATCTAGTGCAGACTGACACTGTTACAATGACATTTCACGGCAGTGCCTTACAAGGTCTAACACTTAATCTCACCTCCTATCATCTCGGCCCAGTGCAGCAACAAAACAGTTCAAGATCAATATCTGTCCAAAGATGATGCGTTGCATATCATGGCAGGATACTTACTTCTCTCTAGTGTATGGTTTAAATTTAAGGTATTCAGTGAAACCTTCTGCCTTTGTGCGGTTGTTAGTGGCTGTCTAGGTGGCCCCCTCTCCTGGGGAACCCATACACAATGGGATCAGGCCATTGTTATCCATAGGCTGGTTTTCAGAAGTATACCTCCAGGCTTTTCTTCCTAATCTTTGTCTGGAAGCCCCACAGAAACGTACTCAGCATCAGAAGAACATGCAGCCTCTACAAACACATAAAGTGTGTGACCCAGGCAGGCACCCAGCTCTCCCGAAGGGAAGATGAGAATTGTACCAATGAGCCATTATAGTCCTCTGCCCTCAGTCTTAAATACATAGTACTTCCCCACACAGAAGTTACTTGTTATAGTCTTAAATACATAGTACTTCCCCACACAGAAGTACTTGTTATAAGTCTTTACTCAAAGTGTTAACATATTGGCAGCTCAACCTCTTGAAAGATTAACTCATTTTCAATTTAGCCAGCACTCTAGACCAGACCTGAAACCTGACCACCACGAAATGCATGTGACCTATTTCCTACTCTTTACAGTCATGATGTCCACTCACCAGCTCAATCTTCCTAGAATGTTCCTTTCACCTGTCTCACCAGTCCTACCTCAAAAATCTTTGTAATTCTTCATTATTTAACAAATATAAATTTTTAGATCTGCCATCTAAAACTCTTAGTTTGTCCAGAGTAAACTGTTCCAGTCAAAAATGTCCTATAATTTCCTGATTTGGTGCCTTTGTTCTAAGCACTCCAGCCTCAGAACTACTTCTCCTCCTCCCTGCCTAACTCCAGCCTAACTCTAGAGGTCCAGCTCGTAACTCTGTTTCAGTACCAAGTGAGACAGCATATGTGCAAAAGACCCTGAGTGCTCTTCAGTCTAGGAGTGGAGGTCCTTGGGACCATCAATGGAGAAGAGCGGAGAGCGGGACCCTACTCAGAGAAGCAGTGATGCCTGAGATGGAGGCAGAGACATGACATGGAGAGATGGAGCAGCTGGGGACTTTAGACCCACAGCGGGAGAGGGACTGTGTGCTGACAACCATGGGGGGGGGGGCAGGCTTGCAGGGTATTTAGTTGGTTGATGATGCATGGTGGGGCCTGTAACTGTGGCAATGAAATGATGATATACAATAGAATGAATGTAAAACTAATTTTCTCCCATGTAAACTATCACATAATTCACAATAAAACATTTATAAATTAAAAAGATGCTGAGTCCTTGACATGCAATATTCAATTAAAACTCTGTCCAGTTTGAGCCTACATTGCCTGACAAGTCCACCAAGCACACTTGCTTTAAGTCACTCATTGGGCACAGTGGTTAAGCTTTAGGTTGGGCAGTTCACACCCACCAGCAGCTCTGTGATGCAAGAGAAAGATGTGGCCATCTGCTTCTGTAAAGATCTGTAGTTGTTAAGTGTTGTTGATTCGGTTTTGACCCACAGTTCCCTGTATAGGGTTTCCGAGGAGTGGTTGCTGAGCTTGAACCACTGACCTTATGGTTCAAACCAACTTTGCAGTCAGGTGCATTAACCCAAAGCGCCACACCAGGACTCCCCTGTAAAGATCACGGCCTAGGAGGCCCTATGGGGAAGTTCTACCCTCTCCTGTAGGGTCACACTATGAGTAAATGGACTTCAGGGCAATGGAGGTTTTGTTGCTGTTATTTTTAAATACAGAATTCAAGAAGCCCTAGTGGCAGAGTAGGGTAAGCACTAGAAACCCTAAGGTGCAGCTGGACCCTGTGCTATGGGATCACAATGAGTCTGAAAGGACGTGATGGCAGTGGGTTTAGTTGATATAGGATTCTGCCTGTCTTTAGTTCTCATTCTGTACTAGAAGACTCCCTTCAGCTTTGGACATGCCTTACAGACTTTAAAAATCCTCAAAACAACACATTTTCTTCAACATGTAGGCATTCAAAGCATCTTCACTGGTTCTTCAAATTAGTATAATACCTAAGCAAGCAAACTTGAGAGAAAAAAAATGTTTTATTTAAAATATAATGCTAATTTGTCCAAATTAACAGATGTGCCTAATCAAAAGCATTTATCAAGTATTTGATAGTGAAGCACTGTTTTTATAAATGTGGTAGTACATAAAAAGGTATTAATTATAAGGTGAGCCCTGGTGTGGTACTGTAGGATAATCACTGGACTGGTAACTACAAAGTTGGTAGTTCAAACCCAGCAGCCACTCTTGGAAACCCTACACAAGGTCACTATGAGTCGGAATTGACTCGACAACACACAGCACCTAGAAGATAGAAGCATTACATACAAAAGAATGAGAGAAGACATTAATAAAGAAATAGATTATGCAATCTTAGGAACTACAAAAATTATGCAATAAACAAGAAAACACACAATCATTTCAGAAAAAAATCGCTTAAAGACAAAATGAAATGCAACTGAAAAAGAAACACATGACTCATTAGAGACTATGGGGTAGCGTGAGGTTAAAGTCTAACAGAAGGAACAAGAATCCTGCAATGACCCTCCATCTGCAAAATACTTGTTTTAAGTCTGAAGCCCTTCAGCCTTCATAGAAAGATATAAAAGATTCTTTCATAATGAAACAAAAGGAACATGTATCGGAGAAGCTATACATCTAGGTTATGAAACGTGATACCATCTGGTGGTAGCAAGTGAAAACTGCAATTTAAAACACCCAACACAGAGAGCTATATTGCTCTACAGTTACCATTTGTTTAAATCATTAGGTTATATAAAAAGGAAATTAGAGGTCCCTGACTTTTTCCATTTAGAAATGAAACGGTTTTTCATTGTTGCTTACTTACAAAGTAACAGGAGTATTTTCCCATGATCTTTCTGCTTCCAGTTTATCTACTGAGCAAGGACTGCCATCATTTTTCAGAGAGCTTGGTAATTCTTCAGGGGAGTTCTCTAGATTTCTCTTGGCTTTCAGGATAAGTAATTCGATTTTGTCATCTAATTTAAAAAAGATATATGAACTCTTTAGTAAAAAATGCAAAGCACTAGAAAATTCCAAACAACAATTCATATCATTTAGAATGCACGCATATCTACAAGAGCAACCAATGTTTAAAGTGTGACGTTGAAACAGAGAAAAGGGGGGTGACCAAACACTTCATGAACAGACACCATTAAGATTTAAGAGTGAAACATAAAAAGCTCCTAGATGTGAGGTCCAATTTACATTTCACTTGGTTCTGTAAAAAAGAAAGGATTACCACTGAATGGCTTTTGGGATTGTCCTGGAAGAAGTAGATTCTCATACTGACACTGGCTACATTCAAAACCACATTTGTACTTGTTAACTAATCCTTTTTCATCCTGCAAGGAATCGAAAAAGTTTGAGTGTTCAAAAGAGTATTCAAAACAGTCTAACTTATTGGTAAGGCGAGAAGTTCTTTGTGCCTGATAGCTATGTTTAGGGGAACACTGATCTTCTTGAAGTATTTTAGAGGTCCTTTGACTGTTTGGACCAGGCAATAAGTCTTGACTGTGGAGCCAGACAGGGTATTTGAAATCAGGTATACTGGTTATCCCTGAAACATTAAGATCAGATTTCTGGCTAGTAAGCCATCTTGGATAATTCTTTTCAAGATTGTGCTCTGAGCTGTCCTTGGAAGATAACTTCTTGGGAAAACATAACGATGATGCAGAAATGCATTTTTTTGTCTTATTCACAATTTTGTGATTTTTCAGTCTCACGCGTTGCTTTCCATTTATATTTGTGTACATAACAGGAGTAACTAAGTTATCCTTGCCCATGGGAAAGAAGGATTCTTGCAAATTTGGATTCTTTTCAAGGTCCGATGAACATAGTCTTCCTAAGCATTTCTTGTTCTTCCTATTAGTTTGGTGAGCTGGTCCAATGTGAGTGGAAGAAGGTAATGCTCCGTCTGCTGGAAGCGCTAACAGATCATCAGTCGTCAAGCTAATGGAGTCCGTGTCATTAACAGTCTCTTTTCTGTAGGATAACAAGGACTGTGAGCTCTTCTTCTGATCAACATTTCCCAAAGCTGAAAAGCAAAACACAGGTCTGTTTATCTCCCTATAGTATGTACAAACAATTTATATTAACAGGACTTGAGAATTAAAATTTTGAAATTATTTTTAAATTTTTTGTCACTTTCTTATCCTTACTAAAACATTGACTAAAAGTAAAATTTAAGTCAATAAAATAGGATAGTTTTTTTCTCTTGGTCTATTTTACTTCCACCCTTTTTTCTCCAGTCTCCTGAATTTTCCTTTGTTCTCTAGTTTATTCACACTTCAACTTTTTCATCTATACATACCCAATGGATGAATACAATCACATTAATATTGATCACTCAAGATTGTCTGTAGCATAAAAATATATGATTAAATATACTGGGAATATTGTGCCCACATCCCTCTAAGAATCTAAAGTAAACGTTTTCCATTTCTGACCTACTCTGGAAAAACTCAGAAAAGAGCTACTTTTTTGTTCATCCAAGATGCATTTCCCAAACTTGTCACCATGGAAAGCTTATCAAGGAAAAACTCTTAGTCTTTTTTAAACATTAGTGTTCTATAGAAGACAGATTAGAAACACCAACATAGCACTATCTCACAAAGAAATTAAGTACAAACTAGGACAGATGGAGACTTATTCAAAGTCCTTAAGGTAAAGAAAACTAGAAGTTGATAGATTTTATTGAAGAAGACAAGACTATCATGAGGGCTTATTAGGAAGAAGTTTGAAGAAAACCAAAAACAGCATTGATGAGTACAAGGCTGGGAAGCTGGGACAAGGAATTTTTCCATCACAACAATGCACCTATTCTTTCTACAAGGATAGCAAAGGGCTGTCCTATGAGAATACCGTTGGCAAGCCTTACTCCATCTACCTACAGCCATGATATTGCCTCACTCAGACTTCTTTTTATTTCTAAAACAAAAAACAGTTAAAAGGAACATAATTTGAGTTCCCTAAGGATGCTAAGGAGTCCTGGTGTGGTGCTGTGGGTTAATGTGCCAGACTGCAAAGCCGTTTGAACTGCAAGGTTGCCGGTTCAAGCTCACCAGTTGCTCCTTGGAAACCCTATACAGGGTCGCTATGGGTTGAAATCAATTCGACAGCACTTAACAACAACAAGGATGCTAAAACTGTCATTTTGAAGTGATATAAATTGAAGAGCACAGAATTCTTCAGAGACAAGTAAGATAGACAGAAACACTGCCTTCAGAAGTGTGTACACATAGATGGAAGATACACTGAGAAACAATCACTTCACCTTTTGGTATTTTTGTTTAATAAAGGTTTCTATAAATTTTTAGCAGTACTTTTTTACTTACCTTCATACAAAACCATCTCCATCCCCAATTTTATAAGACTCATTTTATCCAAAATGAACAACAAAAAAGTCTAATTTTCCAATGCTATAGCACATTTTTAAAAGGTCTCAAATTATTGGGCATGTTGAAAATATAAATAAAAGCATACCATTATTTTCACAAATATATGTGGAGAATTTTGACACATTAGCAGCACGCTTGCCAGTGTTAATCTTTCCAGTGCTTGGATACATTTGGCTTAGATCAAAGTCATCGATATAGGCCTGCAGAGCCTGCGAAGCAGAGTTGTATAGTTTATCCTTATACTGAAAGGATCCATCAGAACTAGACAAGCTACTGCCACTCAGGCTGCAGCTTGCTAGGAGAGAAGACACTGAAGATTCTCGAGAACAAGCTCTGTGTTTTACACTTGATTTTGCCATGGCTTCTTCAAAATGGGTTATTTCTATCCATTTCTCCTAAAAAAAACTGCAAAACAAAAGCAAAAGGTTAATGTCCCAGTTAACAAGAATGGCCGATAAAACCCCAAAGCCAAATCCATTCCAGCTGACAGCGGCACTCCTGGACAGGGTAGACCTGCCTCAGGAAGGGTTCCCAAGGCTGAAATCTTGCAGATGAATACCTTTCTCCCACCAGGGCGCTGGAATGATGGCCATATACAGAGAAATTACTAAACATATAATTTTGTGTAATTTCCTTTAAAGACTAAAATCCATTCTTTAGAAATACTTTTCAGTTTATTTTTTATTTTCTATCATTTTAACTCATTAGTGGTTTAGCAAACATTGTTTGAGTACTATGTATCTGGAAGAATGTATATAGCAATTACCTGAGAATATTTATGAAAAGTACCAAGGAAGAAGCACTCACTATTTTTTAAAGTCCTAAAACTAGAGTTGAAGTCTCTTTCTTACAGTGATATATTTTATGACATCACAATACTTAACATTCCCCGGAATGGAATATTTTTCATTCTTGAGACTTCCACCATGCACTGCACATAATAGGTGCTCAAAACATTTGTTTGATGTGTCAAATGACTATTGGAAAAAAGAAACAATGGAGAAGAATCTCCACTTTCACTGTTGCAAATGTTACTGTGGAATTAATTACAAGTAGTCCTCGATTTACAACCAGGTTCCCTTCTGACAGCTCCACTGTATACTGGTTCTGAATTAAGTTGATTCTGACATCAAGTCAAGTGTCTTTTTGGTTTTCATTATTGCCTTTCGTTACCAGTATCTTTATAAAATTGATCTTTTTCTTTGGTGGTTGGAAACATAACCTATAAACATCTACAAGTGAACATCTAAGAGTGGAAGCAAAATACGGATGCAACATTGGATCTAGTACATAGAATTAATGACAAGGTTTACAAAGAAAAAAAAGGACGGTCGCTAAGTTTGGTTCATAATTAACTCAAATGCATCACAGAGGATTACTTGTAGAGTTAATCCTCCATACATAAAAAGAGAAAAAAAATCTAAAGAACAAAATAATTCATATTTTTGAAAAAATAAACTACAAGTCTTACTGCAGAATAAACTAATAAATAGTATGCCACTTTCCTAAAATAAGATTGTTAATAACCATTTCTTAGCCTTATTTCGGTGTCACCCTCATTATTTTAATTCTTACAGTAAAGACATTCAGCCCAACTCTCTTTTAAAAGTCGTTTGAAACAACCCACCCACGCCACAGAAGAAAGATCTGGCAATTTGCTTCCAGAAATATTAAGAGCCAAATAGTTTAGAAATTAACAAAATATATTCATCTTACTACTTTTCCATTTTTAAAATAAACAAAATCCCTGTCTACCTCACACAGCAATTCCCACTGCCATTGAGTGGTTCCCTCCTCATAGCGACGCAATAGGACACAGGAGAACTGCTTTGTTCCCAAGGCTGCAAATCTTTAGGGAACAGCCAGCCTCCTTTCTCCCTCCAGGGATTGGTGGGTTCAAGCTGCAAACCTTTCTGTTCATAGCTCAATGCTTAACTCACTGTGCCACTAGGGTCCTTCCTACAATCATGTTGTTGTTAATGCCATGGGCTTGGTTTCAGCCCATAGTGAGGCTACAAATCTTCGTGGGGAAACAGAAAGCTTCTTTCTCCCAAGGTGGCTGGTGGGCTGAACTGCTGACCTTGTAGTTTGCAGTCCAGTGTTTATCCTACAGAGTCACCATGCTCTCCTGATTGTTGTTGTTAAGTGCCGTTGAGTCGGTTCCGACCCATAGCGACCCTGTACAGGGTTTCCGAGGGTGTAAAATCATTACGGGAGTAGAAAGCCTCATCTTTCTCCCGCGGAGCAGCTGGTAGTTTCGAACCGCTGACCTTAAGGTTCGCAGCCCGATTCGTAACCACTACGCTACCAGAGCTCCTTATGCTCTTGTAAAATGAAGTAATTAAGACTTTCTGTAATAAAAATGAGATAAAGTTAACAATTTTACTTATTAAAAATAAAACCTAAGAATTTTCTGTACTATAATGGTTACGAATCGGGCTGCGAGCTACAAGGTCAGCAGTTCGAAACTACCAGCTGTTCCGAGGCAGAAAGATGAGGCTTTCTGCTCCCGTAAAGATTTACAGCCTCGGAAACCCTGTACAGGGTCACTATGAGTCAGAACCGAATCCACAGCACATAACAACATCATAGATATCTTGGACAAAGGACATGTTATAATGTAAAGTTAACACATCTAATTTTGGCTATAATTTTGGAAATATTGGTTATAAAAACTTTGAGTCATATTTTAATAATTGTCAAATTTGACTTTAAGTTTGAAAAGTTCTCCAATTAAATGAGAGTAAACATCATTCTGTCTCAGTTTAGAACATGCACCTGCCTGTGCAAGAAATCTGACAGTTGTCATGAGCACAGAACATAAAATAACTTATTTAGCCTTTTTTTGGAGACCTGGTGTGGCGCTATTGGATCAGCACTGGGCTGTTAACCACAAAGTTGGTGGTTCAAACCCACCTGCTGCTCCTCGGAAACGCTATGAGTCAGAACTGTCTATGGCACTTAGCAACGGCCTCTTCTTTGGTTCCTTTGACGTTAAGTACATCGAGTCAGTTCGACTCATAGCGACCCTGGAAAGGGTTTCCGTGGAGCGGCTGGTAGGTTTGAACCGCCGATCTTGTGGCTAACACCGACATTGCGGTCCTGCGCTTATCCCACTGCGCCACACCAGGTATTTACACGGCCAATCAAGTATCTCACAGGAAATCATCAACTGTTCAGTAATCATTTACTCTGCAGCAAAACCACAGGAGTCAAGTTGCTCCGGGTTCAAATCCCCTGCCTGCCGCCATCCCGTCCCACGCGGACAGATACCCTCCGCGTAGTTCCTTTCCGCCCAGAAACCATTTATTAAACAGACCGGCAGGTGACATCCTGACACAAAGCCCCTTCCCTCCATCATCAATGTGTCGTCCTGTCCCGGAACCCTCCTGGGCCCACGCAGCCTTTCCTCTAAATTTCGGTCCGGTCCACCAAGGAGTGTGACTCACGTCCTCCCTCCGTGACACCCGTCCCCGAGTTGTCACAGAATGGATCACCCCTAGACCGCTCCTTTCCGCCCTAACTCACCCACGACTACCCAAAATGAGACACAAATGTACACTTCCACAAGTCTCCGCCTCAGCCCAGGCCAGCCACCCGGCGGGAAACGCCATAAAGCCTACCCAGCCCCGCCTCCGCCTCCGCCTCCTCGCCGGCCCTCAAGCCGTCACAGCGGAGCGCGACGCCCGCGCTCACTTTCAAACTGACCCAACATGGCGCTGGCTGGCGGTGCGCATGCGCAGTAGTCGGGCGTGGGGAGGGGGCAGCCGGAGGAGGGGTTGCTGCGGGCGTTGAGTCGCAACCCCTTCTGGGGGTTGTAGTTTCTCCCTCCCCATCCCTCTGGGGCTGGGAGGCTCTGGGCCACAGCTCTTTCGCTGCCCCCCACGGCCTTTCTGCTTCTGCCACCACTACTCTCGGCCGCTCTGCGCAGGTGACCGGCTGAGCTTCCTTTGACCGGCTCCTGGGCCTTGTGAGGGGAGGGTTTAGGAAGGGGACTCGGGGACGTTGGTGGCTGCCGACCGAGAGCCACCCCCACAGCCTCAGTCCTTCCGAGTGATCCAGACTCCCCTCTTTCAGAGTACGCTACCCCAGAAAGAACAGCATCTCAGCTAGTGGAAAGCTGCCCCACACTCTTTTCCCTCGACCTGAGTGAGTGCCTTTCCCACCGCCTCTCTGCGCCCGGCCCCTCACAAGCAAGCAGATGCGGGATTGGAGGAGCAGGGATGGGGTTTACCAAACTCCGTGGGGATCCAGATTCCCGGGGAGGAATGAATGGCGGTTACCCAGCACGTATTGGGGACCCGGTCAGGCAGCCCAGAAAGTGGGAGATTATACAAACACATGTAAAGAACATGTGTGTGAACCTGTCTTCGAGGCTGGGACAGGATGTCAGGTGCGTAGAATCCAGTTTCAACCAAGTGATGTGTCAAAAAAAAAGATGCCATCTCAGTGTTGGTTTGTTTGTTTTCCACTGACCGAATCTATGAAGATACCCGTGGCCTTGACTGCATCTGACTATGAGTCCGCTCACCGGAAGTGGTATCATCAGGTAAAACGATTGTACCTTTGTTAGTTGCTGTCTCTTCTTTTCCACCATTTCCAGCCCAATAAAATTTATCTCCTCTTTTCTCTTAGCAAATGAGAAAGTCCAGGAGTTATCAAATTCAGTTTGGAAATTCAATTAAAACACAATGAGTGTGTTAAGTGCCAGTTATTTGCAATGAATAAGACAGTCCTCAGCCCAGGAACTTAGAGCATAGTGATGTGCTCCAATAATTTGGACAATTTTAGGACATTCGTTATCAAACAGGTTGCTGATAGAAAATTAAAAAACTAGTTCAAGTTAGGTCAAACCCAGGTCCGGGACCAGCCAAGGATAGCTGTGTGACATATATCTAAAGTGTTCATGGTGTGAGCTTTAAAAACTAGATCTTTATCTACATTCCATTTAAATGTCTTTTTAAATTTTTCATTCTTTATGATCATTTCTTAAAGATTTTTTTCATAATCAATATCTTTCAAATTTATCCTATTATATTGCTTTTTTCTTCTGTCATGGAGCATATGTTTCCTACTGAGGCTAGAAAGGCTATAAAGTGTAAATAAATGTAAAGGAAACTATCAAATAGATGGACCCAATTCATGGATCAGAGTAATCCTATTTCCACTTTGTTCCTTCACAGGTTAAAAGATATGGAGATCTACATGAGGACTCAGAGAGGACACCCACTAATTATAAATATTCTCAACTAGATTAGGAAAGGTAAACAGTCTACTAAAGAAGAGAAAGTTAATGATTTACTAAAACTTTTCAAACATACAAAATGGTAACTACCTATTGTGGCTTGTGGGAGAACTAAACAAAAAAGAAAATAGATTTACAATCTGACCTAAAGAGCTGTAGCTGTAACTAAGGAAGAATAGTTGTATTAAATTCTAAAATGGTTTATTGAAGTGTTTTAAGGAGGCAGCTCTTTGGAGAGATTTATAAAGGATGGATGTAAATATGGCCATTTTAAGATCTAACCTTTTTGATCACCCATAATTGGGCCCACATTTCTGAATCTTTTTTTACACTCACTTAATCTCTACAACAAGGAAACTTAGTGGTGTTATGTGCTAGGCAGTGGGCTACTAACTGCAAGGTCGATGGTTCAAACCCACTAGCCACTCCCAGGGAGACTAATGAGGCAATCTGCTCCCATCAAGATTGACAGTCTCTGAAGCCAACCTTTGAATTTGAATTGGAAACCCCATTGGAATCAACTCAATGGCCATAGATTTGGGGGAAGGATTTAACCCTTCTGACAACTTGATATAAATAGCACATCATGCTGTGGGGCTAATGCACTGGACTGCAAAGTCATTTGAATCGCAAGGTGGGCGGTTTAAGCTCACCAGTCACTCCTTGGAAATCCTATACAGGGTCACTATTGGTCAGAACGGACTCGATGGCACTTAACAACAATCCCCATTCTATAGATGTAGAAATTGAAGCTCAGAGTTTATGCATTTTAGTGAAGGCTCCATGGTGGTGCAGTGGGTTAAGTGTTGGACTGCTAACCACAAGGTCAAGGTTCAAACCCACCAGCCACTTAGGGGAGAAAGATGCCTGCTTCAGAAAAGATTGGTTTTGTTGTTGTTAAGTGGTGTCAAGTCGGTTCCGACTCACAGTGACCCTTTATAGGGTATGAACCACTGGCTTTGCGGTTCCACACCAGGACTCTGAATAGATTGGTGGTGGTGGTGGTTATGTGCCGTGGCTCTGACTCATAGCGACCCTGTACAGGGTTTCCGAGGAAACCCTTATGGGACAGTTCTACTCTGTCCTATGTTGTTGTTAAGTGCTGTTGAGTTGGTGCTAACTCACAGTAACCCTTTAGGGAGTCCTGGTGTGGTGATGTGGGTTAATGCGCCAGACTGCAAAGCCGTTTGAACTGCAAGGTCAGCGGTTCAAGCTCACCAGCTGCTCCTCGGAAACCCTATACAGGGTGGCTATGGGTCGGAATCGACTGGATGGCACTTAACAACCAGGAACAGCTGGTGAGTTTGAACCCTTGACCTTGTGGTTCAAACTGACCAGTGCTTCTCCTACAGCACCGCTGTGCCGTATGGGACTGCTCTCGGTGGCATTGACTCTGATGTCATTGAGCACTGGCCCTGGTCGTTAATAGCCATGGGGGAATTGGAATCCCGCTCTTTTTTCGTCACATTCAGAACAGAAGCAGAACCCTTCTGCTTTTTAAAAAAAAAAAAAAAACTAGTATTAAAAAAACTCAAATGTTTTTGTAATAACTACCACAGTACCTAATCCTGTGTAAGAGTTCAGCTCAAAAAAAAAAAAAAAAAGAAAGAAACAAAAACCAGTTGTCAGGTCGAGTCCTGTGCTTTCAATAGAATTGACTTGAACTTGCTCCTCTCTGAGAAGTGGCATTTAAGCAAAATACCAATTAAAAAGAGTCAATTATGTGAACATATTGGGAAAGAGTGTTCCAAATACAAAGACGCTGAGGTAGGAAACTGCTCAGTTGTATGTGAGGAGTCCATGTGATTGGAGCTAACTGGGTGAGAAGAGAGGAAGGCGGTGCTTTTGGAAAGGAAGCCAGGGGCCAGATCTGATACTCCTGAAAAGATTGCAGTGATTACAGGAGAAAAGAGGCATAATTAAGTTGTCAAAGATAATGATTGTGGAATAACTTCTGGTGTGGCACTGTAGAATAAGCACTGGACTGATAAACACAAGGTCAGCAGTTCAAACCCAATAGGCACTCCTCAGAAACCCTCGTTACAAGTGGGAATCAACTCCATGGCACCTAACAACAACAATAATTACATGTGCTATAGGATAAGCAGTGAACTGCAAACCATAAGATCAGCTGCTCCTCATAAGAAAAATGAGGCTTTCAGCCTCCATAAAGACTTACAGCCTTGGACATCCTATATGGGGTCACCATGAGTCCGAACTGACTGGACAGCACCCAACATGGGTAGGACAGTGGAGTGCATTATCTCCTTTACTCCTCACACTAATTGCATAAGGCAGGTATTTTACCAGTTTACAACATGAGGACAAGAGGAACTCAGAAATGGTAAGCAACTTGCTTTCCACAGTAGATAAAGTGGCAGAGCCCAGGTCTCTGGTGTCTCAAGTCTGTGCTCTCTCCACTAGACCACAGTTCCGCATTTGAAAGACTGTAAGGCTCTCCTTCATACATGCATCCCTTCAATAAATAATGGTTACCCAGGGAGTACTGGTGTGGTTCTGTAGGAGCACTGGACTGCTAACTGCAAGGCCCACTCTTCAAACCCACCAACCATTCCTTGGAAATCCTAAACATGGTCGCTGTGAATCAAAACTGACTTGACAGCACTTAACAACAGCAATTACTATGTGCCATCCTATAGAAATAGTATTAATAGTATGAGAATGGGATATGGCTTGGTATCATTTCTTTTCATAAGATTACACTCTTATCAGTCATTTGCTTTTAAAACTTTGCAGGTAGATGGACTATAAAGCAATTGCCCAGCAAACTGCTCAAGAAGTTTTAGGTTACAGTGAAGATACAACAGGCTGGAAAGTGGTGAAAACTTCAGTAAGAAAACTAATAGATTATCAGAGTTTTTTAATGAAATTGGTTCATTATAAAAACTTAAAAACATTTTTTTTCTTTTCCCAGCCATACCCTAGAATATGTATTGTTCTTTTGCTTTTGTTTGTTTCATTTTCATTTTTTCTGTATCTCACAGCTAATTTATTTGTGGGTTTTTATTCCCCTTTGAGAAAAAGATAACCATTTCCAGCAAGGCATCTAAAAAATTCAATGGAAATATGTGAGTACAATTTCCTATTTACAAGGATTGCTTTTAAAATTCAACACTGCCTCATTGACTCTAGCAAATTGATAATGATCAGGAAATAGACGTGAACTATAAAGTCATTAGATTGAAATGTAATATTAATGAAAAAAGAATTATGCTTTTTAATCGTTTATTTTCAAACATGAAGATAATCAGGAAAAACAAAATTCTTCCTGTCAAATAGTTCAGTAAGATAGTTCAATAAGTATGTTGTTAGGTAGTTCATATAGGAACACAGCAGCAACAAAAATTAATATTTTTGAAAAACAATGAAATGTAAAAAGAATTACTGTAAAAAGCATATGGGTATTTTCTTGCTAATGTTATGTTTTTATTGGCCTTCAAACTCTTCATCTTTTCATTAAATGAATCACTAAAAAGTAAAGTTTATTTCCTCACTTAATTTCTTTTGCTGTTTTTCTGTAAGCTGCTTTCAAAGGACAGTTTGAAGATTTCAAGTACAAGTACAAGTACACTTAGGGAATTGTGCTGATCTCTTCTAACCTTGTTTTTTAGAATTGTTCATTTATTGCTCATGCTGTCACATTACTGACATCAGATAACCTTCTGTTATTTAGCAGTTCGTTATTGAGCAAGCTTGTTAAATTCCTTTTCTTGTTGGAGTCTGATATTCTTTCAACTCACTCATTTTGTGGTTCTTGCTCTTTTTTGCATCTGACTTGAATTTACTTGCATGTTAAGAAGTTCTGATAGCATCGTGGCGTACAAGTCAGGCGCTAACCTCAGTATCAGCAGTATGAAACTACCAACCACTCCACTGGAGAAAAAAATGAGGCTTTTTCAGTCCTGTAAAGATTGACAGCCTCAGAAACCCTATCCGTGGTCCCTATGAGTCAGAGCTGACTCCACTGCACACCACCACCACCACCACCTTGTACGTTAATTCCGTTTTTGACTGTAGGATAAAGCAGCTGGTCTGCTTTCTCACTTTCATTTTAACAGTTAGAGAGATGATCTCTACCTTTGTTATCTAAACAGGTCCCTGGGTGGCACAATTTGCACTAACTACTAATTGAAAACTTGGTGCTTCAGAATAAAGGCCTGGCAATCTGTTGCCATACAGATTACAGCCATGCAAACCGTGTGACGCAGTTCTTCCCCGCACCACATGAGTCAGGGCTCAGACTTCATTTTCATTAAATAATTTTCTGCTAAAATAATCTTAATGCAGGCTTCAATACACTATCTTAATACTACCGATGGATAACCAAACCCTCACAGATCTAAGTTACTTGGCCAAATTGTTGATCTTAAACTAAAACTGAGACTAATTCAAACTATGGCCTAAGGGTCAAATCCAGCTCACTGTCTACATCTGTCCAGCCTGCAAGCGAAGCATGGCTTCTATATATTTTTAATGGCTGGAACAAAATCAAAACAAAAATATTTCATATGAGAACTATATGACAATGATATGAAATTCAGTGCCCAGAAATAGTTTTACTGGAACACAGCCATGCTCATTAACTTACACTCCGTTTAGAACAGGTCGCCTCTGCCCCAGCTGATTTGATTCACTGCAGTGGAAGCCTTGTGGCTGCAAGGCCTAAATTATTGACTCTCTGGCCCTCTATCAAAAAGTTTGCCAATGTATACTCTAGCCCACATTATATTCTTCAATTAAGAGTTAGTGCCATAAGGTATAATGCAACTATGTAAACTTCTTATCCATTACTGTTGGTTTATGACCCACACAGCAGCTAAAGGTCATTAGATACATTTTAGAATGGGCACAAATAAAGTGAAAGCAGTTATTTTAAAACAGGCAACTAAAGGAATGCAATTTATAGCTATGTAGGAAAAAAAGAATTTTGAAATAATGAATGCATATTGATTATTGCAAGGAGCTCTGGTAGCATAGTGGTTACGAATCGGGCTGCGAACCTTAAGGTCAGTGGTTCGAAACTACCAGCCACTCCATGGGAGAAAGATAAGGCTGTCTACTCCCGTAAAGATTTACACCCTCGGAAACCCTGTACAGGGTCGCTATGGGTCGGAACCGACTCGATGGCACATAACAACAACAACAATTGATTATTGCAATATATATTTTTTAAAACCTAGCTTTTCCCAACTACATATTAGTCTACTGACATGCTGATATTACCATGAAGAATTTTTACTGTTATTTGCTAAAATAGCATAACACTATACTTTGATAGCATTATGTTTTCAAAGTAGTTTACGTGTTAAATTTTGAATCTTCTCTGTTTTACTAACTATAGCTATCGTGTTGAAGGGATTATTCCACAAACAACAAGTAAACTATCTGAATTTCTCTACCTACCTGATCACAGAGTTACATGGGATAAATCATTGCAAGTCTTCAGTCTGATAAAGAAGATTGATTCGGTAATTGGTTGCTTAATATTGGACTTTTACTGTATTAGTGTACTTTTGGTTGTCTGATATCATAACGATTTGAATTTATTAAACCTATGTTACAGACACTTAGGATTTTATAGATATAAACTGATTTTAAATCTTTATTAAAGCCTTAATGCTCCCCTCTTTTATTAATCCAGGGCTCAGGTCCAGTTAGCTTATTTTGTTTGTAAATGCATACCACTTTCTGAATCTAGTCTGCTGTTTTGGAGATATGTGCTTTTGTTATGAAGGGATTTAGCTCATGGTTTTAATAATAAAAAAAAATAGAGTAAGCACTTCATTAGACTTATCATAAGATAGCAGGAACATTTCAGATATATCTTGTGGTGACTTAAGAAAAGACAGCAAATAGTTTGGGTTTTGTTTTCTAAAGAGTAAAGTATAAAGTAACATCATGCAGATTTTCCGTTTTAAAAGCACTTTAACACATAATATCAGCTTAATAGATCGACATGAAGAGAGAAAAGGAAACAAAAGCGAAAAAAAATGCAAGTACAGGTCTTCGGAGTAGAAAGCTGAAGATACAGAGAGAGGAGAGGAAAGAAAGGAGAATGAGAGGCAACAACAGTTTTGTTGTTGTTGTTGTTACTGTCGAGTTGATGCTGACTCGTAGTGATCCTGTATAGAGTTTCCAAGACAAGACTGGTGGATTTGAACCGCTGACCTGTGGTTAGCAGTCCAGTGCTTATCCTACAGTGTCACACCAGGATTCCAAAGGACAGTGTGAAAGGGGAGAAGGAACAAAACGAAAGCTCAGTATAATGTAAGGGTTGAGTGAAAGCCCAGGAGGAGGGCAACAGTGAAATGAGAGAGGGCCGATACTCCATGGAGAAGAGCGCACAACATAGACCACCACTGTAAAAACACCATCACTGGCTTGGGCCCCATAATGCTCATCTCTAAATGAGCAGTGAAACCCTTCTCCATTCTGGTTAGTGCTTTTGTGGTTTTTGCATATTTGTGTGCCCTCTTGCCAATCTGCTTGTGAGTATCGTGACTTTGTTCCCAACAACCCCTCCCACATAGACAGATGTTTAAGTCTTTTTGAGCAATTTATTCATTCCACGGATACTTTTTTAGCATCGATTTGAGCTACATACTGCTGTTCCAGGCAAGGTCAGCAGTTCAAACCCACCAGCTGCTCCTCGGAAACTCTACACAGAGTGGCTATGAGTCAGAACCAACTCGAAGGCACTTAACATCAATTGTTCCAGGCACTGTGGATACATAAGACAGAAAATGCCCCAGCTTTCACAGAACTTATATTCTATTCAGAAGTAAACAATAAAACCAACATAATGTCAGACAGTGATAACCATTAGGAAGGCTGGGAGTGGTCCGAATGTTAAGTATTCTGAAGGATAATCAAATAGGCAATGAGCAGGAGGAACTACTATAGAAGAGGGTAATCAGGGAAGTCCTCTCTGATGAGGAGCAGGTGAGTAGAAGCCTGACGGCAACATGGAGGCGATGGAAACTGACATGGAAGGAGGAGAGTGTAGCAGGCAGAAGGGAAAGCAACTGCCAAGGCCTTAAGGCTGGAAAGAGTTTGGTAATGTTTAATGAATAGAAAAGCATGTATAGGGCAAGGGAAAGAATGACAGGAGATGAAACTGAAGTTAGAATGGGATATGATGCTTTACGAGCCGCAGAGGTCATGAAAAGAAATAAGTCTATGTTCAGTGGAAAGCCACTTGGAGAGTTTTTTTAAAAGACTGATGTGATTTCTACTTTTAAGGTAAAAAAGTGGAATGGAAATGGATTATAAGAAAGCAACAGTGCAAACAACAAGATCAGTTAAGAGGCCATGATAGAAATCCAAGCGAGAAATGGTGGTGACTTTGGGTTAGGATTGAAAGGTTTTAGTGATACAACCAACAGAACTCACTGGTGGAGGGAAAGAGAAGAGCTAAAGAAGCAGCCTCCAAAAGTAGACTGTGGAGCTGGTTACAAAACTAAAGAAATCTACTTTTGTACACTCACTGAATGGTACACTTAACATTGATGAAATCATGGTATGTAAATTGTATATCAGTAAAGCTGTTTTTAATAAAGAGAGTCCTAGGGTTTTGGCACCACCACCCACCCATCTGTCATATGTCATGCTGTGGTGGCGTGAAGGTTGCTATGATGGTAGAAGCTAGGCCGCAGGTATTTTAAATATCAGTACGGTCACCCAGGGTGAACGGGTTTCCGCAGAGCTTCTGGTCTAAGACAATCAAGGAAGAAGGAAGAGGCAGACCACTTCTGAAAAATTAGCCACTGAAAACCTTATGAATATGTAGAACATTGATACAGTGCTGGAGGATGAACCCCTCAGGTTGGAAGGCACTCAAAATACGACTCTGGGAAAGAAGTACCTTCTCAGAGCAGAGTCAACCTAATGATATATGTGAAGCAAAGCTTTCGGTACCTTCATTTGCTGATGGGGCATGACACAAAATTAGAAGAAACATCTGTAAACATCTGTTCATGATTAGAACATGGAATGTACAAAGTATGAATCTAGGAAAACTGAAAGTTATCAAAAATGAAATGAAACATATAAAGATTGATAACCCAGGCATTAGTGAGCTGAAAAGAGTTCCTATTGAATTCTCTACACTTGCAGTTGAAGATCTAATCCTCCTTTAACACTGAAAATGCAAACTGACCTGATGATAAGGTCTTAAACCTTCAAAGTCCTGCTTTTTCCAAGTAGAGGGCAACCTTGTATGATACAGTTCTTTGGGGATTAAAACAAAAAAATTAAAATAATTGTTGCAATCTTTATGTTTTGATTTGTTGCAGGATACAATGATATGCCATACTATTACACAAAGCTTTGCCCTGGGCTCAATTTCTCCCCGAGACTTTATTGACTTAGTACACATCAAGCACTACGAAGGGAATATAGTGATTATCAGTTGTAAGTTGAAACATTTTGAAATTACTATGTCATTAATAATTTTTCCTTGAACTCATATTTTCACTGGGCTTCTGGTGTGGCGTTGCCAGTTAATACGGTAACTGGTGTTGCCAGTTAATACTGCAACATCAGTTTGGGCTGTTAAGGCCGGCAGTTCTAACTCACCAGCTGCTCCTTGGAAACCCTGTACAGGGTCGCTATGAGTCAGATCCCGACTCGATGGCACTTAGAAAAACAGAAAATATTTTCATTTATTTCCCTTGTTTTTACTTACTCAATGGGACCAATAAAGTTCATGTGTCATGTAGACCAGTCTGATGTTATAGGCACCTTCAGCAGTATCGATTACATCATCCTCACCAGACGACGGCACCTCCTGACTTTGTGGAGCGCTTTCAAACCCTGCAGTACTGAGTTTATAGATGTATACTTGTAAGCTGAGATTTCAAGGTTGTTGCTAGTTAAATGCTGTCAAGTCAGATCTGACTCATTGCAACCCTGTGCAGGGTTTCCAAAGAGCAGCTGGTAGGTTTGAACCACTGACCTTGTGGATAGCAGTCCAAGATATACATTCTAAATAACAAAGAAACAAAACTAAGTGTTGAATATATAATTTTAAATAAAATTTATATATAATATATAATTTTATATTTGAAATGCTTTGAATGGGCATATCCAGTCACTACTGGCAAGATTTGCCCTAGTTGGGTCTTGATATAATATGCTCATGGTATTTTCTTTAAAAATTGAGGTTCTGATATAGTCCTAGTCTTCCCTACAATGCATCACTCTGTAAAACATACAAATGCTTAACCATTTCCTAATTTGCATTATTCAAAACATACCATAAGAATCTTTGGACTCAGAGAACTTAAAAGACCTCATGTTCAAGGGACTTCGGTCAGACAGATACATAATGCCGTATTTCTCATCCATGTTGTTGGTGTTAACTGCTGTCGAGTCAGTTCAACTCAGAGTGACCCTGTATAGGATTTCCGAAGAGTGACGGGTGGGTTTGAACTGCCAAGCTTGTGTTTAGCATTCTACTGCTTATCCTATGGTGCTACGCCAGAACTCCATAGTTCAATTTAATCATATCATTACTATCTGAGTTGCTTCCCCCTACTGTAAGTACTTGGGTGTGGTTCGTGGTTATGAACCACCAAGTCAGTTCCAACTCATATGGACCCTGTAAGTGTTTCCAAGGCTGTAAATCTTTACTGGAGCAGAAAACCTCATCTTCCTCTCTTGGAGAGCCTGGTAGATTCAGACTGCTGACCTTGCTGTTAGCAGCCCCGTCCATAATCCATTATGCTACCAGGCCTCCTTACTTAGAGGCAGGGGCAATTAATTTTGCTAACTTTTATTTTCCAGTGAAGTTTCTGGTCTCTGATATTCCTGTAGTGATCTTGCAGACCAGACTCATACCTTTCCTAAGACATTCAAACTCAGGTTAGCACCATTTGCAGCATACCGTTACGAGCTCATGGTCTTAACTTTCATATTTTTGGTTTAATTTTTTAAGTAAAACAATTATTCACTGTCTACAACACAAAATACATACAGAAGCTGTTATGTGCCAAATTATGAAAGTAGACTGTTTCTCTTATTGTTAGTAGTCAGAGAAGGTAAAAAAAATAACAGGGATAAAAATCACTGTAGAAGTAATCAGTCGCTTGGTCACAAACCACAACTGAATTTGCTCTAAGTAATTTCCTTTAAAGGAATCTTTGATGAACACTGAGTTTTCTTCTTAATGTTTCTTTTTTTCTCTGTACCTAACTACACATCTTACTATGCACCTTGCTTAAAAAAAATTTTTTTTTAATACACATTGCATGCAGTATCTTACTACTGAGGAAACTGAGGTTCCCAGAAATTAAGCAGTTAAGAAGACACATAGCTAATAAGTAGCTGACCCAGAATTAAAACTCACGCCTTTTTGATTCTCCAAAATCTGTACTAATTACCATACTATATGTTTCATGAAAAAGCCCAGACTGTCTGTGTAAATTAACACATTAAAAAAGAGTGACAAACATAATCTTCATTTTTAAATAAAGGGAAAAAAAAAGTGTTTCAATATCACCCCTGTTGAGCACCATGTTGTCATTACCAACATAACAAGCTCTGTTGAGATAGATGATGATGTAGGTCAACTGGTTGAAAATGGGGAAGTAATTGCACCATTTCGGGCTCTAAGCTGCCACTTCACAACATACTCCCCCAAGAATTGAGAGTTTATTTTGAAATCACAAGAAAAGCCATCTTATTTGACAAGAGCAGAATCCAGTTGCAAAGAAGGAACAAATAACTTTTTTTTTTTTTTTTTAGAAAGGGTGTGTGTATGAACATCATAAACTTAATAGTCAAATTACCTCCTCTACATTCACACAGCGTAGTGGTTACCAGTTGGGCTGCTAACCTCAAGGTCAGCAGTTTGAAACTACCAGCTGTTCTGCAGGAGAAAGAAGAGACTTTCTGCTCCCATAAAGATTTACAGCCTCGGAAACCCTGTGCAGGGTCGCTATGAGTCAGAGCCGACTCCACAGCACAGAGTCCCAAAACTCTACTGATATCTCACATTTTCAGGTTAGCTTAGAACTTTGACAGAAGGCAAGGGACAGGTCAGAGGAATGTAGAAGAGGTTAAACTATCTTGATAAAACTTACAAGTACTTTAAATATATTTTTTAAAACATAATTGATAAAAATCCACAATCCTACTGCTATCCTGATAGAAGTCTTCTTTATAATTCCTTCAAATCTCAGAGAGTAATTAAATGATGCTTGAACATTTTTCCTTCATAAAAAAAGGTAGCAGCATCTTTAGAAATACCAGCCAGCATTAAAAAGTATAAGAAGACAATAATGCCATGCTGGGATTTTTTCATTTTTAGCTCACTTGCACATTCGTATGCACAAACACATTGTTGCTGAGTTCTGTCCAGTCAGTTCCAACTCACAGTGGTACTGTATAGGGTTTCTGAGGCTGTAAATCTTTGCAGGAGCTGAAAACCTCACCTTCCTCCTACAGAGCAGCTGGTAAGCTAAAACCACCGGCCCTGTCGTTTGCAGTCCAGCGCTTATCCTACAGAGTCACTGAACTCCCCAAACATACATACATATACATGTATTAAACTAATGTTAATGTTGATAATAAATAAACTGAATAATAGATCATACCTTGTTTTAAAATATGCTACTGGAATTAGAGTTTTTCATCAACAGGTTTCATTTTAATTTTTTTGAATCACTTAGCTAATAGTGTGGATGTTCCAGAATATCCTCCATCTTCAAATTATATCCGTGGTCATAACCATCCTTGTGGCTATGTTTGTTCACCTCTGCGAGAGTAAGTGTTATTTGCATTTATTTTAATAGTTTTCTATTTCAGGTTTTTCATTTGTCCACTAAATGATTCTTGGTTCATCAATAGAAATACAAGTATATGCCAATATATTCTGTTGGGGGAGGGGAGGAGTTGTTCCTAAATGCAATTTTTTAAATATTTTAAATAATTGTTTATATATTAAATATAATCAGAATGGTTACTTCCCTATAAAGTATAATTTGAGGTTGTTGGTAATAATCTCTCTCTCATACACACACACACACACACACACACACACACACACACAATTTCTCCTTAGGTAAACTTTACTAATGATGTTTAATGATTCTCTGTTAAAGTCACTTCTATGAATTGAGGATTTTTTTCTGAATTAAAAAGAAGATTTCCCTGAAATTATAACACACACGTATCAGCGATTAACACTCTACCTTGCATAACTTCTCTCCAATCATCTGTCTGCTGAGAGCCATATTGAAAACCTAAGACATATTATCAGGAACAATGATATTCTCTAGTAAAAATTAGAAAAGGTTTTCTCTCAACTATGTGAAGCTCTAGTAAATTCACAGCGTGATTCAAGACCATATATACTGCTCTTAAGTATTCTGAATGTAGCCCATTTGAAGCACTTAGAGTTAACTTTGCATAGAGAATATAAAGAACTGCACATCCAAATTGCTGGTGGGAGCAGTGTCCTCATACCCAAGAAAAGGATTCTGTAAAACTGTGTTGCCCCATGTATTTTCAACTGAATGTTAAAATGTTTCATAAGTTTAAATTGATGAAAAGAGTGCAATTCTAACGTACTGTAAATATTGATTATTTTTTAAGATGGCGAGATGACATATATATATATATATATATATGTATATATCCAATAGAATCTAAATACCATAGCAACTTGCAACCAACCACTAATTATTTCAAAATGCATACAAACGGAATCAGAAAATTTCCAGCATTTGTTTCTTCCTTGAACACACTTCTATTCTTTATCCCTCACATTTGATTCTAACAGAATATATTTTATGCTTTCATGTCTTTTATTAGCCACCTATCATTCCCTGCAACAAAAATATGGATTTAACTTAGCATTTTTAACTTTTCTTTTCTGTGGACAGAATAGCTAAGTTAAAAAATACATAAGCCTGACAGATGAAACTATCATTACACAGTGATCAAAATAAAAAACACATATTAAGATTTTTGCTAAATAATTATTAAACATAAGAAGCAAACTTATGGGAAATACAGCTTTTATTATTAGCAAAACAAAGATGGCACTTACTATGTGTCAGACACTGTTATAAACAGTTTATATATATTGACTCATCTGAAACACACAATAACCCTTTGTTGTTGAAGTAGGTAGAATTGCTATCCACATTTTGCACTAAAACAAAAGGAAGCCTAGAGACCTTAATTAACCTGGTTGACATCACCCATAGGAATATCTAAGCTGGCCTTCAAATCAAGGCAGATCGGTTGCTGGGTTCATGCTTCTAATCATCACGCTCCTTTAACAGTGGCTGTATGTTACTTATTAATAAAGCAAGATAGTGTTCAGCATCAATATGTAGTCCTGCTTTTCATTTTTGTAGATAGAAACTGAGACATTTTCCTCAAATAGACAATGGCTTAAATGGAAGCAGAATAACTTCATGAGTATCACTCAACCCCTTGGACTTGTCCAGTGTTATATACCAAAAATTACACATTGGTCTATCATCCAAAAATATTTTTAATGACCTATCAGCTGACAACTCAGTGAGATGCTTCAATTTTGTTGAAACAAAGAGCTGAAAACATAGTACATAAAAGAATTCTGTTGTCCCCAGGCATCAGTTGTTCACTTTCTCAACGCACTTCCAACAGATCAAATTTTCTCTTTTGACATCTCCAAGATTTTTATATGCAAAGGTATAGCACTATAGTACTGTCAGGGACTAGGACAGAGAAAGAAAGGTGACTGTGAACAGGCAGGAGGACAGGAACCAACTTCGTCCCCTCAGAGCCTTATTCTCAGATCAGTGAAGATTTGAAAATGTGTGCCTTCAGAAGTATTCATCCATCCGTACCCCTTGAAAAGACTGTACCTGCTCCAATTGGGTTAGAGTATAAAATACTGCAATCTCCTAAGGCAACTTGGAATATTTCAAAATGTTCAGTGCACTAAATCTTTGACTTAGAGATGGTAAGTATTTACAGAAAATTAATATATTATAAAGACGATGCAGCCTGATTTATAGTAGCAAAAAGTGAGAACCAACGTAAATGACAGTCAATGAGGGGGTGATGAAGTAGAGTATGAAAGACTATATACAACCATAGAAAAACAAGCAAGTCACGTATCAACAAAAACGAAGTGTATGAAATGCTATTAAGAAAAAAGAAAACCAGTTTCATAAAAATGAATTATTGCTCTTGTTGTCAAGTGCCATAGAATAGGTTTGGACTCATAATGAGGGATTTCATGAAGCAGCTGGTGGTTTTGAAAAATGTATATGTGGATATGATGAGGTATATACACATATAGGAATCCTGGTGTGGTGCTGTGGGTTCATGCGCTGAACTGCAAAGTCCAACTTGATGGCATTAACAACAACAGCAACATACACATAAATGTACATAATGTATGCTATCTTTGGTGTCCTGGTCTGGCACTGTAGGATAAATACTGGACTGCTAACCACAGAGTCAGCAGTTCAAACCCACCAGTCACTCCTAGGAAACTATTCAGGTTGCTGTGCATTAAAATCAACTCTATTGCGTTTAACAACATAGTCTTTGGAGTTCTGGTGCAGTGCTGTAGATAAGCACTGGGAACTGCTAACCGCAAGGTGTGCTGTTCAAACCCACCAGCCACGCCTCAGAAACCCTACATAGGGTTGCTATGAGTCAGAACCAACTCAATGACAACAACAATCTTAAAATCTCTCTACCTTTTTCTTCCCTTCATTAACTATGTATTTACCCTTTGGTACATGGTTCAGACTCATCAGCCACTTCTTGAAAACCCTATACAGAGTTGCTATGAGTTGGAACCGACTCAATGGCACTTAGCAACAACATGCCCTATGAAGGGAAATCAATTGTGAAAACACAAGAATCCTGCTTCCTCTAGCCTTGTAAATTTCATAGGTAAACTTCAGAAATCTTTATCTTTTTTCAATTTCTTCCTTTGTTTGTTTCCAGGAACCCAGCACATTCTAAACTAGTGATGTTTGTCCAGACAGAACTGAGAGGAAAACTGTCGCCATCGGTAATTGAAGCAACCATGCCTTCTACCTTAATAAGTGTCATGTACAATGTGAAAGATGGAATAAAGGCACTCAGAAATACACCAGAATGTTCAGCCCATCAAAAGGCTCATGCATCATGCCTGAAGAAGAAATGAGGCCATTCTGCTAGAAAATCATGTGCACAGATTCCTTCCAAGTCAGTGTGCATAAATGCTGCTAAACTCTCCTAGGCAGGATTCTTACACAGATTATTGATGGTACTTTGTGAAACTGTGAACTCATGGTTGTACAAGATAACAGCAATAAATATAGTTTTTAATCTCAGATAAGAATGATGTTTAATAACAATTATACTGAATACATCTGTATGTTTTGCTTTTTTTCTTGACGACTCTCTGAATAAGATAAAGCAAATAGTCAGAAGTCAGTGTTAATTAACATCTTTAATTAAAGATCAAAGTACATTTTAAATCATTTTTCTCTTTACTTACTGCTTAGGTTGAGAGCTAAAGGAAACACAGACATAAAAATTGAAAGGAATTCAGCTGGAATACAGGACTAACGACATTTAGAATTTAAAATTAAGCAAGTCATGAATCAACTTCTGCATCTGGCCTAGATGTAATTGCTCCATTCCTCTTAACTCTGAAAATCTGCAGCCACACACAGCAAGTAACCACAGGGAGATCTAAAGCATAGGAAAGAAGGTGGCAGATTGTCTAGTGATCTTGTTACTTGAGGAACAACATAGAAGTGAATTCTCTGTGTTTTTTGATTGTCTCATACACCCTGGACAGAGCACTGCAGAAGGCTCTGTACCAAAACCATCGACAGATTCTGACAAAAAATATTCCCTCTGGCCATAAAAACCCACTGTGATGGTCGATTCTGGAGTCCTGGTGCGGTGCTGTGGGTTAATGTGCTGGACTGAAAGATCAATTTGAACCACAAGGTTGGTGGTTCAAACCCACCAGCCGCTCCTTGGAAGCCTTATACAGGGTCGCTATGAGTCGGAACTAACTCAATGGCATGTAACAACAACAACAATCGAGTCTGATTCACAGCAACCACATAGGATAGAGTAGAACTGCCTCCTAGGGTTTCCACAGCTGTAAATCTACCGAAGCAGATAGCCTTTTACACAGGTCAGCTTAGGTGCCAAGTGCCGAGCTTTCAGTTGTTAAGTGCTGCTGAGTTACTTACTACTCACAGCGACACACCCTGTATAGGTTTCCGAGGCGTGGCTGGTGAGCTTGAACCACCAACCCAATAATTAGCCCACTGTGCCACCAGGGTTCCTTCCAGAAAAAGGAAAGTTTAACAGAAAATACCACCCCCCTCTGCCCACCAAGCACCAACCGAAAGGCCCCCTCCCTATTTTCAATAGGGCAGATCTGGGATATCTTCCACCACTCTCTCCCCCCACCCATGGAGGCAGGCTGCTGATGTTTGTTGTTAAGTGCCATGTTGGTACCAACACACAGTGACATTGTATAGTGTTTCAGACAAGTGACAGGTGGGTTTGAACCACCGACCTTTCGATTCAAACCAATCTTATAGTCACGTGCTTATCCTATAGCGTCACACCAGGACTCTTATGTTGTTGTTAAGTGCTGTCGAGTAGGTTCTGACCCATAGTGACCCTGTATAGGGTTTCCGAGGAGTGACTAGTGAGTTTGAACCACCAACTTTGTGGTTCAAACCAGCTTTGCAGTCTAGGGTGCTAACCCACAACGCCAGACCTCTGGTGTTGCTGGGGCTGAAGAGGGAGGTAATCGTCCATCTTCTACCAGGCAGAGCATCAGATTCCACCTCCAGCTGGTCAAGCAGTTTTCATCCTCTTTCTGGCAAAAGCAGATGATGATGCTCAGACTTCCTGCTGGGATAGTCTCGGTGAGATCCTGTGGCAAAATGAGCACTCCCGGATTGCTGCTACACGGTTTACAACAAAGGCCAAAGCACAGCTAGCCACTGCTTCCTCTCACCCCTTAAGCCCTTCCACCTTCCTGTCTGCAGGGCCAAGCAGGAGCCTCCCACCATCAAGACCTTAATGTTTTTTGTGTAGCATCAGATTTTGACAAAGCTATTCTGTCTGCTGTCACCTCGGCTCCCTTTGCAAGGAATCGTTTTATCGATTTTTCATACTGTCACTTTCAAGCTGTTTCTGAATTGGGCCTAAAGTTGTGTATCTTGTAGACAGCACATAAACTGATCATTGTTTTAAAATCCTTTGTGCATGCTCTGCCTTTTGATTGGAGAGTTTAATTCCTTTACATTTAATGTAATAAATGGTAAGGAAGGACTTCTGTGATTTTGCTTTTTCTTATGCTTTTTTTGTGACAAGTGAAAGTTTACAGGGCAGATGATCAGTTTTACATTCAACAAGTCATATTTTATTTAATTGCAATGATTACCATCCCCTCCATGTACCAACATTATTATAATTATTATTATTATTATTATTTTATGTACACCTACCACACTCCCCTGGCTTTTGGTTATCTAGGAATGTCTTAATTTTGCCCTCACTTTTAAAAGATAGTTTTTCTGGATACAGAATTATTCGCTGACAGTTCTTTTCTTTAAGCACTTTAAATGTGTGGAATGCACTGCCTTCTAGCCTCCAAGTTTCTGAGAAGAAATCAGCATTTAGTCTTATTTAGGATTGTATGTAATAATCAACTATCAACATTCACAGAAGCAGCAGTCAAGAGATCAGACAACGTATTGCACTAGGCAAACTGCTGCACAGGAACTTTTTAAAGTGTTGAAGAGCAAAGATGTCAGCGTGAGGACTAAGATGCACCTGACCTAAGCCATGGTATTTTC